CTGAATTTATGTATATACTTACCTGGCAGTAATAATGGCCTACTTGCAGGAATATGTGTTGTAGAAGTGGGTTAAAGAGAGTCTGCCAAGAGACCAAACTCAGTCATATTTATTCAGGATTTCCATTGCTCTCATGTCTCCAAGGTACACATTCCCAAATAGGCATGCATTCTTGGTTTGTTTAAAAATGTGAGTTGTGTTTGTACTATCATTTTTGTTACATGGTTGAGACAAAATGTTGGAGTACTGCCTTATAAACAGTGATGTTAGCTTTTTAAAAAACCTAAATATAGGTAGGTAGTTTTTCACATTGTATTCTAGTTCCACCCTGTAATTGAAGACGAAATAAGCCAGAAAACATTGAAGAGGACACCAGGTGGCAGCAAATCTTCAAAAGTCATTTCTGTCTTCTGGCTCAATCAGTGTTCCTTATGGACTTTGGTGATCCAATTAAAAGGGTTTACTGTCTTCTTGTTCCATGTCTTTAAAGCATTTGTTTTGTCATAGTCTCATTGACATTAATGAGAGAAACTTGACATATGAAGAAGTTTGAAGGTTTTTTCTGAATATCTCCATATTTTTGTCCACTCAGGCGATCTGGTTTCCTACCAGATCTCGATATCAGAGCAATCAGAACTGTAAAGAGAACATACGTATAAAGCATTATATTGTATGACTTTGGTATACTTTGGGGTCAACTCACTTTTGCTATAGCAAGCAGAAGCTCAAGTAGAAAAGGTGTGTTATCTGTTCTAAATAATGATTACAATTTGGAGCCCCCGGTGGTGCAGTGGGTTAAACCCCTGTGCCAGCAGGACTGAAGACTGACAGGTCACAGATTCGAATCTGGGGAGAGGCGGATGAGCTCCCTCTATCAGCTCCAGCTCCTCATGCGGGGACATGAGAGAAGCCTCCCACAAGGATGATAAAACATCAAATCATCCGGGCGTCCACTGGGCAACGTCCTTGCAGCCAGCCAGTTCTCTCACAACAGAAGCAACTTGCAGTTTCTCAAGTCGCTCCTGACACGACAAAAAAAAATTACAATTTGAACGGTGCAGTGTTATTATTTCTGGCAAGGTTAATATTACTCTCTAATAGGCTGAGATGCCATTAGTTCCGTGTCAGCAGATAACACATAAGTACTCCAACAAACCATGAAGGAAATCAAATGTACAGATTAGTTTAGGTAACAAATTATGTAACACCTGTGGCCTAGCTAAGGAGTCTTTTTTCCTTTGATTCAGTTGCACTCGTTTCTTGCAGACATGTGTTTTTAACTTTTATGAGACCCCATTCAAATACCAGAATAACTTTTTGCTTTAAACAGTAGCAAAATGCAGTTTGGTTCAAAGAAAAAAAACACACACACACACACTATTTCTTTTTATTTGTTGGAATAATTTTCAGGGATGTTATGGCTTAAGCATATCCTAGACAAATGTTTCTAATCATATACATATTGAAAAGTTTCGGTTTTATTTAGTAAAAGAAACTTGGGATGCCAGAACAGGTGCTGATGTTTCTAAGGAGAAAAGGAAGGTGTTACCGGAGGCAGCAACTAAGGATGTAGCCACATTGCAAAATTATAGCAGTCTGACATCACTTTACAACCTGTTTTTCCACCACAGTTTATTGACTGCAATCCAATCCATTATGGTGAATGTGCACCAATTCAGGGCAACTGCTGTGTCATTGCATTTGATGAAAAGTTGAGATAGATAGAATATAGTTGGGTGTTTAACATGACATCATAAATGTTGAGGGCTTTCCCTATTACATTTATATGATCGTGCAGCAATTCTACTTTTGTAATCAAGTATACTCACATACAATTTGATTAAAAATCAACTCAAAAAAGCTGTTTCAATTTATGCACATGTAAATACTCTCTCTTTCTGCCCTGGCACTATTTCTGGCCTTTTTGACAGCTTGGGACAGTCATGTCACAAAAGGTGTGATACCAAAATGATTATCACCGCTGCAACTTTCAGAATCCTCTAGTCTGTGTGAGACATACACAGATCTCCTCCCTTTATTGTGCTTCTCCTTCTCAGCAGCTCAGAGCAGGGTGGGGGCAGTTTACTCTCAAAAGGAGACAGTAGTAGATTGCTTCCCCCTTTTGCTGAAGGTGCCCCCCCCTCCATCTTACACTGTTGCTGCCGTTGTGGGCACTGCTGCCATCCCTGTCTAAACTAGCAAGGCCTTGTGCCCCAGTCCCTGCCCCTACTCCTACTCATTCACCAGCTGTAGTAGTGGCAGTAACAGCATGTTTCTCTGCTCTGGCTCCCAGGACTCTCTAGAGCTTCTTTTACCCAGAAGGTAGAAGAGTTGTAACAGAAGTGCAAGACTAGGATGTTTGAAAGAGATGGGAGAGAGGGCATTACTGGGGTGCTATGATTGGAAGAGTAGGACTGTTTGCAGCAGCTGCTACAGGATTGCTTTGTTTTGCCTGATTGCTACTGCTGCTCTGTTCTCCCCTTTTGGAAAGTTGATTCCGACTTGGACAGAGGGCTCTATTATTATTTATTACTAGCTGTACCCACTACACTTTGCTGTGGCCAACCTTCCCTCCCTCTTTCTCTCTTCCTTTGTTTTCCTCCTTCCCTCCCTCCCTCCCTCTTTCTTTCTTTCCTTCCTTCCTTCCCTTTTTTTCTTTCATTCTCTCCTTCCTTCCCTTCCTCTTCTCTTCCCCCCCCTTTTCTTTCCCTTCCTCTTTTTCCCTTCTTCCTTCTCTACCTGTTCTTGCACTGCAACTCCCAGCAGTCCTCCTGATCTATCTACCTACCTACCTACCTACCTATCTTAACTATTTGGAGGATTTCTGGGAGTTGCAGTCCAGGAATAGGAAATTGGAAATATGCAGGGGTTGGGATGCTCTCAAAGAAATCCAAGGAGAAGAAAGCTTTCATCCTGGAAGCAGTGCTCTCCTAAAGGGCCTGTTCTAGGGGATGCTGGGAGCTGTAGTCCAAAGGAAAGTGTGGATATGTGTGTTTTGTTTGCCAGGGGGAGTTGTTTGTGCACATGCACTGTAGCATCTTTTTGCTTTTTTGGCTTTTAAAGTCCCATTGAGTTTTCCAGTGTTTTTATGAGTGATGGTCACTCGTTGGCCTGATAGGTGTATTGTGTCCAAATTTCATGGTTTTTGAGTTATGTTAATCCCACAAACTAACATTACATTTTTATTTATATAGATGGACTGTTTTACATGCTATACGCTTGTGAGCTGCTAGAAACTGAGAAAATGACTGAGGAAAGTGAGAGACAGACAGAAACATTTACCTTCTCATAGTGAAGGGAGTCCCTCAGCTGTTTCCATTTAGTTTGTCATTTCTCCTTTTTCTCAACCACTGCTCTCTTTTCTCCCACTCTGGTCCCTTCACTTTTTTCCATTCTTTCCCTTTTCACTCCCTGTATGCTACACACATAGCTGCTGCAAGTTGGAAGCAACTCTACTCTGTAGCATCCAGTACATGTATATGTGAGTGTGTCTGTATACATATGCTTCTGCATGTTTGTGTGTGTGAGCCGGGGCGGGGGGGGGGGAGAGAGAGAGAGAGAGAGAGAATGACACACTTACCTGTGTGCATAGAGAAATCTCCCTCAAGTGGGAAAGTGGAAATGTTGGGAGACAGGCAGGATTTGTTGGTGGGGCTAGTTCCCAATGGTAGCACTGGCGCTGTCTATCCTCTGGAAAATGGCCAGAGACATGCCTGTGAATCACGCCAAAATCCATAATTTTAACCACAAAACAGACCTTCAATGTGCATGCAGTCAACTTATACACAGCCATATTTGGCATAGTTTCAGAACTGATTATGCTGTACCCCATCCACATGCAACAGCACAGATCAATAGGCAATAGTTTTTATTACAGGAATTCTGTTGCTTACCCTTTAAAAACAAAACAAGCATTCTGGCTAGATATATAATTCTAGTGTAGCAAAAGAAGTAGGTCTTTCCCAAATAATAAAAATAAATAAGAGAAAACTACTTAACAAAATTTTCAAACTTTGAATTTTTTTTTTGTTTGCCTTGATAATGATTCTCTCACAAATGAGTCAGTAAATAATATATAAATAAGTGGCATCTGAAAATTAATATTGTTCAGTAAGAATAATAGAATCATAGAGTTGGAAGAGACCACAAGGGTCATCTAATCCAACCTCCTGCCATACAGGAAAAGCACAATCAAATTGCTCCTGACAGATGGCCATCCATCCTGTTTAAAAGCCTCTAAGGAAGGAGCTTCCACAACACTCCGAGACAGAAAGTTCCACTGCTGAACAGCTCTTACAATCAGGATGTTCTTCCTAATGTTCAGGTAGACTATCCTTTCCTGTAATTGGAACCTATTGCTCCGAGTCCTTGTTTCCAGGGTAGCAGAAAACAAGCCTTGGTGAATGTAGTATTAAGAAAAAATGTAAAGCTCATTTGACCCAAGGACTTTGTTCTAAAGGGATCCTTTTGTGAGCTCAGGTCTCCCCCCATGATTAGATATGTGAGATTTGGGAATCCTTCCTAATATTCAGAAAAAAGTATTTTGTGGATCTCCAGTCAGAACATTTGTCCTGATATACAAGCACTGCAAATCAATAATTCTGAAATGCACTGTCTGTTTTTCCAATGTAAAATAAATACTTTTATTTGAGCTTTTCAAAATCAAAGAACACTCCCATAAAAGAAGATGCATCTTGTGGGAAGACCTGGCAACATAGCAACTAGTGAGATAAAATGCCCTCCTCCCTCTGCCCTCAGCCGATTCCCAAATCACATATTTCACTTGACTTGAAGGAAAATGATAAAATTGTGGGATAAGCATTCTTCATCTTTTTTTTTCCTTTTAAAAATTAATTGCAACCACTTAATTTGTCAGTTTCTGAATATTTCCTTGTAATGTCACTCTTGCGGATTACAATCCTGTTCATATAAAACTGATGGGCTTTATTCCATTTTAATTCTTTAACATATACATTTTATTTCATTTTTCCTACTTTTAGGTTGCTCTCGGAACAGTGACAAATGTCGAGGAAGCAGTAAAGTGGATAAGTTATACTTACCTTTATGTACGGATGAGAGCAAACCCATTAGTATATGGCATCAGTCACAAGGCTTATCAGGTAGAAAATGCTTGCAAAAAACTAACCTGCTTTTTGGTTCTGTAATCCTTTCTTGATGGGAGATTAAATATTTGCCATTGCTGCTTTTCCTGACATCAGCATGTCCAAAGTGCTTAAAAACATGGAAAATATTCCACAACACAAAATGCAGGTGGGGAAGCATCCTAAAAAATTTGATCAGTTATCTTGATAAATGAAAGTGAGTAATCCAACAAAACATGTGAAACAGTCGAATTAACAGTAAATGTATGTGCGCTACTCAAATTTAGCTTTCTCCATCAATCAATTATCATTTCAATACTAAATATAAACTTTGCAAACTCAATTTGAGTGAGCCAGTTACGTATTTTGATTCAATATAGTAAAAGGAGCATTATATTAGAGAACAGGAAAATGTAAGCCTCTTCGTGCATTTTATGAGTAATGTGTACATTTACAAAAGGATGGATATAGTAGGCTAGATATATTAGTTTCTTGAAGCATCTTAAAGACTAATACAAGGGTTGGAACTTTAATAGTGGCAACTATTTATTTACATATAATACAAAAGTGATACATGCCACCAAGTTTTACAGTCCTTCAATATAGTCACGAGCATTGTGTACAACCCATTTCCAGCGATGTGGAAGTCGTAGGACACCTGTTGCAGTGCCTGTTCTGTTGATAGTTTGAATGGAGCGGTCTACTGCCGCAAGAATTTGAAGCTAATGCCACGAAGTGCTTCCTTCATCTTAGGAATTAAGTCAAAGTCACAAGGGCTTAAGTCTGGGGAGTTCTGCAGAAAATGTTGCTGTTTTTTTCTCAAAGCTGGTCTGAGATGGTGTTCCAAAAATGAAGGCTTTTACCCACCTTGCCACTGTTTTGTAAGCTAATGTAGATTCCCTGCAAGCCTCTTGAAGATCTTGATGACATTGTCGTGTTGTACAATCTCTGGCACATTCAATTTTTATCCAACTCCATTGTTCTTGTTTCAAAAACATCGTGACAACACTTACTTTAGACCACAAGCTAATAAGAAGCTCAGTTCTTCGCGTCACTCTACATGCGCGTGATGTAGGAAGGGCGAGTCTTTTTGCTCAGAGTTAAGGTTGGTATGTAACTAACATGTGGTATATGCAACATTCTTTGGTTTTGTTGCATAGTGTCTTTGTAACTTGAACTTCAGCTGTGTTGCCACTATTGAAGTTCCAATCCTTGTACATTTACTGAACTATTGTAGCACACTTAATCAGATGTGATCCAATACAATTAGCCCTCTATATCATGGATTGTATATCCATGGATTCTATCATTCACAGATTTAAAATATTTTTTTAATCCAATTAAGAAATTTTGATTTTGCCATTTTATATAAGGGGCACCATTTTACTATACCATTGTATATAATAAGATTTGAGCATTCAGGAATTTTTGTACACATGGGGATCCTGGAATCAAACCCCAGTGAATACCACAGACCATTTCATACATGCCTATATCCCAGGATTTGATCCCAGGCTTTCTGCTTTAAACTGGATTATATGAGTCCCCACTTCCAGATAATATAGAATAAACAGAAAACCTGGGATCAGATCCTGTGATATAGGGCCTGTCATCAAATAACTGCCTTTATCTATATATATATATAGCACTAGTAGGAAAACAAGTCATTGGATGACTTGATCTGTCATTATGATAGGAAAATAGTGCAGTATATCCCAGCTAATTCTTCACACATTGAACTAAATATACACACATACACAGGGAACTCTAATAAGAAATCAGAATTAATTATGACTCAATCATTTTCCAAATTAAATTTCATCTCTGCCATGTACTGTCTTTAAAATCTTGTAAGAGCAATTTGCAATTTGATTGCAAAAAGAACTAAAATGCTTTGAAATATGCTTTTCTAAAAAGTTGTTTTCTAATTTTTCATTGCAAGCTGTCAAATGCATTATTATATAGTACACAAATTATAGCTGTGTCCCATTTATTGACTGCAACTGGTAACGTGGTTGTTTTTTTTCCCCAGTTCTCTGGTACATTTTTTCTTGTCCTCTTTTCCTCCTTTATTTGAAGGGATTACAGTACTTCTTTCTGGAAGAAAATTGTATCTCATAGCTCAAGGCAAGATTTGAAGAGTTTGCCAAGTCTAATAGTGTGCACAAGATACAATTTGAAAGATCCCTGAACAATTTCAAAGCTCTTTGCATTCATATGTACTACATATAGAAGGAACATTTATTTATCGAGTCACATATTTCTGTCCAACCACTCCATATCGCAGCCTTTTTTCTATAGTAGTGGGCAATCGCTTTACCTGCCTCTGAGTACAGGAAAAATTAACTGCCAACTCACTGTTTCCCAGAGGTAGTTTGTGCCATAGAGGGAAACATAGATTTGGGGGATGCCTAAAGGAAGGACAAGCAATTGTAACTTTTCCCCATGTGTGCAAGAACGTAAGAAAGTATTCCTCAGAGCTACATTTAAGTCCGGACATTACTCAGTATAAAGGCATAGAATTAAATATTTCATTCTTTTTATAAGATATCCAAAACATACATTGTTTAGTTACAATATTAAACGCACACCAAAACATATTTGCATTTCTCCCACCAAAAACTGAAATTGGTACTTCTGGCTAGTTTCCCAGAGTCTCCATAGTGTGTTAGCCCATTGTTCTTGCTTCATTAATTTACAGTTTGCTCTATGCCCTGTTTACCTTGGAAGAGAAAGAAGATGGCATACATTTACAGAATATTTTCAATATAAAATATTTTATCTTGGTAGTTTATCTGGGTGAACTGTGTCCAGTGAATTCATTCATGTTGTATTCCATGTGTATGTCGGTATTTGTCTGATAAGAAGTAAATAGGATGATGGTGAAAGAATTAATATAGAAAAATGGGTGAACAGATAGATACATTTTAACATGTGGAATAATTTTCCATGCAATATTTTAGATGGATCCAAGTTTAGAGAAACACAGAGAACAGCTAGTAATTGAAGTTGGCCGAAAGCTAGACAAAGCCCGGATGATTCGTTTTGAGGAGAGAACTGGATTTTTTTCTTCAACAGATCTAGGCAGAATTGCCAGCCACTATTATATTAAATACAATACAATTGAGGTAATGTACTATTTTTCTCCATTATTTCTTATACTTCGAAATCAAACCAGGATGTTACATTGAATGCACTTTTATTAATAGCATTGTTAGTAAAATTATAAATAGCTATCCTTCGCCAGATTAAACATTTCTACATCCAAGTGGTAAAAGTAATCCTAGTGTGACGTACCAGTACTTGTTCTGAAAAACCATTATTCATGATAGCAATGTCATTCTGGTGTACTTTTGTATGCAGTAGCATGCTTCCAAACCAAATCCAATGGAATTAGGCATTTCTTCCCATTATCTCATGTGTAGTCCACCATTTTAAAAACCTGCTCTAGTGAATTGTTTTTTGGTTTTGTTTTTTATTGTATTCGGGGCATTGCAGCAAGAGGGAGAAGGATCATTGTTTCTGGTGGAGATACTAGGATCCAGTATTTATGTATGTTTACACATATGTGTGCAAAAGTAATGATATGTGGTCATATGTTGCCCTGTATTTTAAAGTCATATTCTGTTAATCTTACCTTAATTATATTACTTCTTTGAACACTTCCAACTTCTGTATAGGTTGTTAAAAATCCAGTCAGCAATGTCATCATAATGAAATACATTCACATTATCACCTACATTTGGAATTATTTTTTTTAAAAAATGCTGTCTTCATCATTGCGAGCTTGTCAGAAAGTTACCCTTTGCATGTTGGACTCATTCAACGAATCTCAAGCCGATACCTTCAAAATATAAGATGGAAAGTAAACAGAAAGTGCCCTGCAACTGTTGATGGGACTTTCCTGCCCCATTTTCATTAGTGAGATAATGCCAAATATCCTGAACAGCAAACCAAATCCTTTTTTTCCCCTGCAGACTTTCAATGAACTCTTCGATGCTCATAAGACAGAAGGTGACATTCTTTCTATAGTGTCCAAAGCAGAGGAATTTGAACAGATCAAGGTAAGATCACTTTATCGTTTCTTTAAAAACAGTTTTCTTTAAAAAATATTTGTGTGCAAAATTTGTGAACTGATGTTTTAAAGCACAACCTCGTGTATTGTGTAGTTTTCTCTTCAGTTAAGTATAAGGATAGAATTTGCAGTTTTATAACTTAATAAATCCATTAAGTTCTTAGATCTTGTCCAAGGGTGTTGTATATACCTAAAGGCTCCAGTGTTTGTATTTGTTTCTGGATAATGCAACTTTTCCATAATCTAGTACATCAGAGTCAGCTTGACACATATTTCACTTTATTCTCAATTCATGGAGGTGCCCCTGACTTTGTAGTGTTTGCCAAAGCCCATACTATGAATTGTCAGGCTGAATTGCTGACACATGAACATAATGGTTATTGTGTCATTAAAATTAATTTCTTCTTTTTTTCATCCAAAATGCATTTCATAACCAGAATATATATTCACTATCCGTATTGTACTTATGTTTTTGAATCATTGTACTTGCTTTGAACTGAATAGTTTTAATAATGGACATAAACCAGGGTATTGTAAGCAAATGTTCTGCTTTGGAAGAAGTTCAAATAAGTATGTGTGTTTGTCTAAGAAGAACTTTATTGACTTGCTGAGGGGGTTACACTGGCTTTTTATTTCATTAGCCAATGCACTTTACAAATGACAATTAGATTTGTCAAATGTCAACTGGGCCCTCAAACTCATTTGATAAAACAGTATTTATTTAGCCAGAGACAATCCCTGCCTGCTGAAATTGAAACCCAATAGCATTTTACTAAAAACAAGACTAATTTCTCACTTTTCAGGTATGATCCGTGCTACCTGTGCTTTTACTTTGGATGTCAAGAATTATAATTTTCTGTGGCAGAAAAAGATGTTGTTACAGCAACTTCCCCACAATCTGACTGTGTATAGCTGGTTGGCAGGCAGGTTCTCCCTTCCTAACCAACAAAAGTGACATTCTGGAGAGAATTTTGATGTTGCCCCATAATAAAAACATCAAACAGAGGAGTCTCTATTCCTGTCTGAGCCGCGTGGAAGTGTAGAAGGAGTGTAGGAGGTCTAATGTGAGCAAACTGTCCATTTGTTAACCATAGTTGGGCTTCTTGAAGCAAGATAATTGGATAGTGATTGAAGAATCCTGCAAATAGTTCAAGTGACAGTTCTGACTTTTCAGCTCTTCTTTTGTGCTGAATGAGATGGTCAGGCCTTGATGGAAGCTGTCTCTAGGTGGTTCCCTGCAGGTGCCAAACATTTACCCTCTTTAAGTAAGTTTTAGACTAATAGACTTTCAGCAAATCAAAGAATATGTAGATTTATGCTCTGTTTTGCAAGTATGGGCGAGAATTTGAAATACTATGCATTATTCAAACTGCAGATATGAATATTTCTTTACTTGTATTAAGACTTAATCTTATTAACAGTGAAAACCTTAATACCATGAATCATAGTACTTCAGAGTTTTGAGCTAAGAACATAATATGCCACATGCAAACTATACGATTTTAATGAACACATTTAATGTTAATTCAAGTTTGCGATAATCCAGAAGGACGGAGGTCAAATAAAAAAGGAAATTTTCATCAGGTGGGAGGATTGTATGGTCAGAAGATTTAATTTTTGAGGCATATTACATTTTTATGTGTCAATGGCAACCTTAATAAAAGGTGATGTATAATGAAATACAATTGTGTCATTATTAAGATAGTTTCAATTAGGTTCTATTAAGTTCAGTGCAGGGAGACTTGTTTTTCAGAAACTGTAGAATGTTTAAAAACACATTTGTCAGAGATAATTGACATTTAATTTTCATGTGGAAAATCTGACAAGTTGCACCAGCCTTTTCAAAGTCTACTAATTTGTATTTCAGGTGAGAGAAGAAGAAATAGAAGAGCTGGAAACCTTGCTGAGTGATTTCTGTGAACTTCCCGCTCCAGGTGGTGTGGAGAACAGTTATGGGAAAATAAATATCCTTCTACAAACCTATGTTAGCCGAGGAGAGATGGACAGCTTTTCTCTTATTTCAGATTCTGCTTATGTTGCTCAGGTAAAAATTATATAATATGCTATTAATTTCTCTGCTGTCGAGTTACATTTGACACACAGAGAACCAGGAGTTTTGTACTGATTTTTGTCCATGTACAATTGTCATGTAAATTTGATTTAGAAACTTGGGGCACATGAACACAACACAGTTTTAATGCCATTAGTCCATTTTAACCACCATGTTCCCATCTAGTGCTTGTGGTTTGGTGATGTGAATTTTAATGCCCCTCCCTACCTTGCCAGTTCCAGGATTCCATGGGATGTTGTGTTAGTTCAAAGTAGGATGCACCTTATAATTGTGTGGTGTGAATATGTCCCTAGAATGTACCCAAATCTTACATGTCTGTAATCTTTTTAAAACTGACCTTACATGTCCAAGGTCCCTTCTGCAACTGTTTTGAAACCGTAAAGGCTTGTGGGGCATTTTTTCCTGGCTTGAGAGACCGGCTGAACCTGACCATTGTCACCTATACTTTGCAGTCCTAGAATGCACGTAGAATATGGTTTTGCAACTTCTCAGTTAGAAAGAAAACTGTTGCTATTATACCACTTCTTTTACTATGGTGTCTTTTCTTCCTCCGCCTCTTTGTCTTTTGTTAAAAGTTTAATCCATTCCTTTTCATGTAAAGCATTTTGGAGTCACATTTCAATTCAAAAATTTTAGCTGTAGTTCAGATGCTTGTGCCACCTAGAATGGACCATTGAGACAGTATCAACTGGTAAATCAACACATAAATTCATTGATTCGATGGGTTTCATCTAGTTAACGATACCATTTGACTTTGGCATCCAAGGAGATGTAAAACTACTTCAAATAAATACAAGTGGACAACAGGAATGGTGGCATAAATAGCATTAAAAAGCAGCAAAAAAACTTAAGCAAAAAAAATGCAGCCTCTTTGTTTTAAAAGGCAAGGTCCAGTTCAGCTGTTAAGTGTTTCACAAAGACACCAACTGAATCTCTCCAGAGAAGTATTTCATAACCTGGATGCCACAGCAGAGAAGGTTCTAAACAAGAAGGCATGGAAAAATTGCTCTTTTTCGCAGCATCTTCCATATTCTTCTAGCCATTATAGCCACAAGTAATTCTAAGAGTTGTCATCTGAAAAGTAACTCCTCTAAGATCTATTGGAACTCTTCTATGTCAAATCAGCTTGTCCCATGATGGATAAGAAATACACATGATACAATTTATAACCTACGTTGTTTTTTTCTGCAGAATGCAGCACGTATTGTTCGAGCCCTTTTTGAAGTAGCCCTTCGTAAACGCTGGCCTGCAATGACATATAGGTTACTGAACCTCAGCAAAGTTATTGACAAGCGATTGTGGGGCTGGGTCAGCCCTTTGAGACAGTTCTCGGTCCTGCCACCACATGTCCTTGTCAAACTAGAACAAAAGAATCTCACATTGGATAAACTGAAGGACATGGGGAAAGATGAAATAGGTAAGATCTGTAAAGAACTGCTAAATGGATGCATCTCAGATATTTGAGCTCAGTTTGAGCTCACTTCATCTTATTTTTACTTTGTTTAAATTCTGCCCATTTCTAGAGCTTTGGGAAAGTTAATTTGACACAAATGAAATGCATTTATGGCACAAAGAATCATTATCTAAATTTATATTAACTGACACATAAATAGTACTCAGTATTTAATAAGCATTGAAATTCTCCTTCTACATAGTATATCCTTTCGTGCTTCTTGTTTAGTACTGTCTGTATTGATTGATAGCAGATTCATAGAGTTTAAGACAAGTTTCTCTTCGATGTACCTTGTAAATATGATAACTTTTGCACAAAGGGTATATATATATATATATTGAGCTGCCATCTTTTCCCCTTGGGAAAATATAGTAAAATCTAAACCTGCCATGTTTTGTTGTTTTAAATAAATAAATCTATATTCACGTTAACCCAAATCTGTACAGCAATTTATCTAACTCCTTGTCTTCCTGGACATCGTTTGAAACCTTAGAGAAAGCAGACAATACATCTGTAGTGGGGAAAGTGGCTTCAGATAGTATGCCTGTTATCATATTATAATTTCTCTACAAATTTTCTATATTCTACAAAATCTGTTTCAAGAAATCAGTTTGCTGTCAGAACACGTTGTTATATCAGTGGCCATTATGCTGGTGTCACTTGGGCTTCCCAGTATTTTTCAGCCCATCTTCGAAAATAATAAATTTTAAGGAATGTGTGAGCTGTTTTCTCCAAAAGAGACTCTACTTTTTAGCATGCCAAAAAAGAAAAGAAAAAAAATTCCACAGGAGTAATTATGTTACTCTGTTGCAATAGAAACAACAAATGGTCAACCAAGTAAAAACGTACAAACTTACTATAACTTCAAAATTGCAAAACAGACTCCTTAAGTAAATAAGCTCATGTGCTTATTTACTCAAGCACGTACAGAAAAGATATATATTTGATTTTAAGTCCCAAGTCAAAAAGTCATTGTGGTGGAGGAGGGGGGACTTCTAGATCACTAGGTTACAAGGTACAATTTTAATAAATATTTAAGCCCATTACTGACCAAAAACTTAGAAGTATGGTTTTCTGAGCTATAAAACTCTAAATCATTTATTCCTTTGGATTATAGCCAACTTCAAACCCAGTAGTGTAGTATGAATTCCTCATGTTATCCTCTCCCTTGTTTCCCCCCAGATCTGCTCTGGAGGATCCCCAACCTTCCAGAAAATATTGTATATGTGGAGGTTGCAGAAGGGATAGGGAATGCATCTTACGTTGGTGTCCTTTCCTTGGCAGACTGCCATAATTGGATGAATCTCTTTATATTCAAACATGCTAAGCTAAAAGAGTTCATTTATCATAGGACCAACAAATAAACTAGCATAAAAATTTTATCGTTAGACCTGCTTAAAAAGTCTGTTATGTATTTATCTGACCTTCTTGGTAAAGGTCAACTTGTTCAGGTTTTCTATTTACTTTACAGGGCATATGCTCCATCATGTGAATATTGGATTAAAGGTCAAACAGTGTGTCCATCAAATACCCTCCATTATAATGGAAGCAACTATTCAGCCAATTACACGTACTGTGTTGAGAGTCAGGCTGAGCATCACCCCTGATTTCAAGTGGAACGATCAGGTAAAACTATATTAAAAAGTATAAAAACTTTGGAGAGAGTGCTGTGCTGACAAGAAACTAGCAGTCACTCGTTAAATATATTCTAATTCTTACTGTTCCAAGCCTTCATGCAAATTCGACACTTAAATGATGTAATAATACATGAATCATAATCATACTCTAGGTGAATGAACTTCACTATTTGTGGTGCCAATTGGATGCCAGGGAAAGGCACCTTTCCCCCGTTTTAAGCTTCATGTCTATTCTAATGTATGAACAGTTATAATGTTGTCAACTACTTGCACACATATAAACCTCACTTGCCTAGTTTCCAACAGACTTCACAACCTCTGAGGATGCCTGCCATAGATGTGGACAAAACGTCAGGAGAGAATGCTTCTGGAACATAGTCATACAGCCTAGAAAAGTCACAGCAATCTACCTGCACACATTTTAACCAACAGTTCAGTATTCCATCATCTGTAATGCCATACAGCATAGCTTTTGTAAGAAGCCTGCAAAAACCTGCTAGCTCCATGTAATTTTGAATGAAAATAGATAAGTAGTAAAAGAGCCCCTGGTGGTGCAGTGGGTTAAACCGCTGAGCTGCTAAATTTGCTGACTAAAAGGTCACAGGTTTGAATCTGGGGAGCAATGTGAGCTCCTGCTTTCAGCCCAGCTTCTGCCAACCCAGAAGTTCGAAAACATGAAATGTGAGTAGATCAATAGGTACTGCTCTGGTGGGAAGGTAACAGGGCTCCATGCAGACCTTGGAGGTGTCAATGGAGATGAGCCCCCAGAGTCGGACACAACTGGACTTAATGTCAGGGAACAAACTTTTACCTTTACTTTTTTTTTAAAGTGCCCTTCCATTAAACACTGAATAAATTTAAACATATCCTACTAATTTTAGACATAGGTGTTGCAAAATGTTTTTACCAACATATTAAAAATATTATTTCCTTTGTCAAAAAAATGCATCCATAAATTTAGTATAACACACAGGGTGAAAGTCATGAGAAACCTAATGAATATTTTCATATTAATAGCCATTTTCTTTGCCTCCTAGGTGCATGGAACTGGTGGAGAGCCCTGGTGGATTTGGGTAGAAGACCCAACCAATGATCACATTTACCATTCAGAATATTTTATTATTCAAAAGAAGCTGGTAAATAAACTGTTCCATAAGCATCAATTTGATATAAATATTGTAACATAGTGATATTGAAGTAATCACAGTATCTATCTGTCTGAATTTCATTTGCAGATTCACCTGCTAAATTTGGCTTTCTGTATAACCATTCAGGGACCTCACTGTACAAATAAAATCAAATAACGGATTTGTCTTACCTGCATCTATCTCTGAAGAGACAATTACTCACAGATGAAAAATCAAATATGTCATGTTTCCTTGTATTATCTTTGTATTGATGTTTCCTTGTATAATCTTTGATGGAACTATAAATATTATTAGTTATAGTTCCATGAAATGATAACATTTAATAAGCAATAATTTTCTCCTATCCCTGAAACACAACTGAATTTCTCTAGTTTTGTAAATATAAGCAAGCATAGTTTTTTAACCTGCTTACATTTTTTTTGTATATACATCAGAAAATTGAGCAATGTTTTTGTCGATCTAGAGAGTATTAATAGTTCTGTTTGTTTTATTTACTGTAGGTCATTACAAAAGAAACTCAGCTCTTAGTATTCACAATCCCAATTTTTGAACCACTGCCATCCCAGTACTACATTCGGGCTGTGTCTGACAGATGGTTAGGAGCTGAGGCTGTGTGTATTATTAATTTTCAGCATTTAATCCTACCAGAGAGGCATCCACCTCATACAGGTAACAGTCTAATAAGAGCTGCATTCCTCCACCATTATATGTGCACAGTTGCTTGTGTACAAATTATTTAAAAATATGTTTTTCTTCTGTTACTATTTGTAATAGTGCAATTTTTTGCTGTTTCTTTGTTTGTTTGTTATTGTAATAATAATATTAATTATAATAGACCTATCTCAACGATTATATTGGCTGATCCATCTTTAATGAGCTTTTGGAACTTTCTCTTTACCATAGTAAATTATTTCACTCTTTACAGCATTCTTTCTTTTTGCAAGTTGGATGTTAAAAACAGCAGAATTTTCACAAAATAGGATAGAAGGGAGAAATCTTTAAAGGATCCATTTTTAGTTCTTTTGTTCATGGTCTCTAAAAGTGCAGGGACATTACCTTGGCTCTATCTGTCTCTACATTACTAAGTCATGAATACAAAAACAGTTGGCACATGAGCTTGTTTGCATCTTCTAGGTTCACCAAAGAGCTATACATCAGTGGGCCTATTATCGTAAAGGCCTCTATTGTTGCTATCCCTGTCTCATTTAAATTCAGCATACTGAATGGACTCAGTAATGTACATGTCTGGAGCTCTGAGCTCTTTTTTCTTTTTTCCATATAATAAATTCATACATGCATGTGATGTGTTTGGCCATTGTTGTGCTGTGTCTAAGCTGTCTGGAGAAACATGTGTACCCTATTTATCTAATTGACTACTCAATGAGTACTATTCTGAAGAAACAAAAAGATATTTACACATCGGCAGATAGGGGACCTCCAGGATTTATGGTAATTGACTGCCATTCCCATCTGGTTCCTCTGAAACAGTGCAGCGTACAGAGGTCCTGCTAGACAAAGATCAAGAAAAGGCTTTTTTTATCCTTCTGACAGATCCCAAGAAATCACTGCATTAGCGGGAGATGATGAAAGACTTCTAAAGTATCTATGAAAAATATGTTAAGAATATTAAGCCTTGGAGCCTTAGCAAATTTTATGACTCTGCAGCCATACCTTACAAAAGAACAACCCAAAAGGGGCATTGAGATCTTGAGCAAAACAAAACTTCAAAGAAAGCATCTGTTTAACAGAGTCATTGCAAATCCGTATTAATTTGATAAAAGTCCAGTCCAGTCTGGTTATATTTGGATTCCAACTTCCTCATGCTTAATGGTATTAGCAAGCAGAATCTCCAGAATGTTGTGTGTACATTATTCTGATGAATGTTTGTTTTACTTATATTTTAATTATTTTAAAATTTACTACAGGACAAAAGGCACAAGTCTTTCTTTCTTTCTTTCTTTTTTCTTAATGCAGTTTTCTGTGGTTTTCCTAACACTAATGAAAATTTGGGTGGGAGGGGGGTCCTCAATTTATTTATTTTTTTGTCGTGTCAGGAGTGACTTGAGAAACTGAAAGTCGCTTCTGATGTGAGAGAATTGGCCATCTGCAAGGACGTTGCCAAGGGGACACCCGGATGATTTGATGTTTTTATCATCCTTGTGGGAAGCTTCTCTCATTGCCCCCGCTGGAGCTGATAGAGGGAGCTCATCCGCCTCTCCCCGGATTCAAACCTGCGACCTGTCGGTCTTCAGTCCTGCCAGCACAGGGCTTTAACCCACTGCGCCACCAGGGGCTCCTAATTATTTTGTTGTAGTCATAACGTGACCTCATACGTGCTATGCCTTCCCTCCCCCATTGACCTTAAAATGCAGCTAGAATAACAGAGTTTTGTTTTGATTAAAACTATCCATGGATAACCTTCCAAAGCCAAAGGGAAACACTGCTTCCCTTAACTCAGCCAAACCATCCTTGGAGGCATTTTATTTATTTATTTATTTATTTATTTACTTTGCTTGTATACCGCAGTTTCTCAGCCCGTAGGCGACTCAACGCGGTTCACAACAAGAGCAAAAGTCAGTCCAACAACATACAATATTAAAACCATTAACAGTATAAAATACAAACTAATGACATCTCAATAACAACACATTAACGTCTCGTAACTAAAATCGTGATCCAATTCGTCATCCATAATTCCATTTCCTATATTCATCGTGTTCATTGTACTATTTATCCGAACACCTGTTCAAACAGCCAGGTTTTTAGTTTTCTTCGAAACACCATTAGCGAAGGGGCTGATCTAATGTCCATGGGAAGGGCACAGCCAGGGGGCCACCACAGAGAAGCAGCTGTCTCTTGTCCCCAAACGCGACTGCGAAGGTCGTGGGACTGAGAGCAGGGCCTCTCCAGAAGATCTTAAAGTTCTTGATGGTTTATAGGAGAAGATACGTTTGGACAGGTAAGTAGCTTGGGCCAGAACCGTTTAGGGCTTTCTATTTATATTTTGGTGCATTTATGGGAGAAGGCTTTTTCACTAACCACCATTCTTGAGGTGGTTAGTGAAACCCTTTTCCAAAGGAGCCTGAGATGGTATTATTCCCATTATCTTTCTGCTGCCAGATAAATACTTTTTGATAAGGGTCTGTAATGTGTAAGTAGTTCTTCATATATTGTTTCCAAGCTCTTTAGGACATTGGAGGTAATTAGTAATACTTTTAAGTTGGGCCCAAAAATGCCACAGCAACCAGTGCACTGTGGTTGATATTACATGCTGTGACCACTTAGCCTGAGCAGGCAACTAAATGGTTGCATTGTGCACCAGCTGAAGCTTCCAAACCATCTTTAAAGATAGAGTGGAGTGCATTGTGATGCTGCAGCCTGGATGTTACTGGACATTAATGACCCCATCCTTCAAAAGGAAGGTACTTACACGTGCAGTACCAATGAGATGCCTCCATCCAGGTCAGATTTTTCTACCCACAGTATCTCAGTCTTACAACACATTTGCCCTCATTCCATCTATGGAAGATCTGTACATGTATCTTGGGATACATATACAGGGCTTCCATAGCCTCTCAGCAAATGAATGATGGTGGGCTTTAATGATAATTCAAGCCCATTCTAATCAGATGGTTGCTTTTATTGTAAAGAAATAAAGGTTTTCCTTTGATACCGCAGTCTTCACTTTCCATCCCATGACACTTATGAATGGGCTGCAAGCAATCCTCCATTCATATTTGTACCCCCTGTGTTGTTCCCTCCACTGCTGCCATAAAGCAGCATTTAAACTTTATGAGAACCATCTCCCTTTCAAAACAAGGGCCAACTTTTTCTCTGGCTCTTGTTTACAAACCGATTGTGTTTTTAGAAACCCCCTCTCCTGCTCTGGGAAGAATATACAGTTTCTTTTTTAAAGCAAATGGGGAGTACTTGTTTTGTTTTAAAGGTAAATTGAGATTCTTAATAGTGAAATTTAATTGATGGTATTTGGGGAGAAGAATTGGGGGCTGCCATAGAGCTCCAACCACTGGTGTTTAGGGTGGTGATGTGGCCTCCTGGAGGTTTTTCATCCTAGTACAAAACTTCTCTCCACAAAAATAATGTCATGTAAAATAGCCTTCAAGTGATAATTCAAGTATACATAGGAAGTTAACCTTTAGAAATGCACATATGGGATTATCCTGTATTTAGCAATGTCTTACCGGGCTCATTTTCAAGCATTAAACACAATGTCCATGTTTGGATGTAACTGCGCTTTAGTTTTAAGTTAATATGAGCCCCCACTTCTCATACGTGTATACAGTCACCTCTTTGAAGGATGTTTTTATGATTCATAAACTGTTGGCCTTGCAAAATTAAATTGGCCACTTTCTTGCTTAATTTCTTGACCCTAGGCCAAATTTTGCTACAACCTTTGATTCTTACATTTCAGGAAGACCTAGTTTCTTCCTGGACTCCAGCATTTGATGTTCCAATTTCTTCTGCCTGTCTTTTTTGAGTATATATTCAGATAGCTTTGGTTGTACCTCACTGCATGGAGAATCAAACCACCTTACTCTCTGGGTCAGTAAAAAACCATCTTAGATACAGTGCACAGGGCATCTACGAAGCGCTCCTATGTCTCAAAATGCAAATGATTTACCACTTACCTTGATAAAACAGAAGTTGGCCCCTTTACAGCATCAACATTCCATATTTTGGGTTTCCTAGTCCCACTTTCAAATGCGGGACTCTTGTTCTCATCTCTAAAGTGTTACCTTGCTGCGATTTTCTCATATAGGAGGAAGTGAAGGTTACCATCTTACCTCACTGAGACATTAGTGCAAATGTTTGTTAAGGAACACAAGAATCTGCATCCCCCTATAACTCCACCTGCATCGGTTTGGAGCCTTGCCCTCATCCTCAAGGCACTGATTAAGGCTCCTTTTGAACCTATGACATTAGTGGATATGTCCTACATGTCCTGGAAGACCGTTTTTTGGGGGAAGTACTTTGGCTACAGGGGCTAGTGAGTTGTGTCCTCTATGAGTAGATGCATTATACCTTTGATTCCATAAGAAAAAAGTAGTACTGCATACAGATATTGCTTTCCTGTCCAAAGTGGTGTCTAAATTCTATATTTCTCAAGACATAACCCTACAAGCCTTTTTTCAAAATCCTGACACACCTCTTCGGTGGCATGACACCCGCCTAACGTAGCAAGTAGCTTGCTAGTCTACCATATGTGTGATTTGCACGGAGACCATGAAGAAGAAGGAATGGGTGCTTACATGTAACTGTGTTTCTTTGAGTGGTCATCTATGAAATTCGCACATCCCCACCCATCAAAAACTTTATCTGTTTTAAAGATAGGAAAATCATGTAGATTCCTGCATGAATGAATATAAAGTAGTTACAGAAAGATAGATAGATAGATAGATAGATAGATAGATAGATAGATAGATAGATAGATATTTTAAAAATCTCATGGAAGCTTCACATATGAATGTTTGTTGTATCACATTATATACACTGTTATAAATGTAATATACTGTATTTTAAGGTGGTAACTAGGATTCAGAATGTTGCTGTCTGTTTTTGTGGTTTACATCGTTTTATTTTATGTGTGTGGTTTTTATCATTGTTGTTGTTGTTCATTCGTTCAGTCGTCTCAGACTCTTCGTGACCTCATGGACCAGCCCACGCCAGAGCTCCCTGTCGGCCGTTACCACCCCCAGCTCCCTCAAGGTCAGTCCAGTCACTTCAAGGATGCCATCCATCCATCTTGCCCTTTGTCGGCCCCTCTTCCTTTTGCCTTCCACTTTCCCCAGCATAATTGTCTTCTCTAGGCTTTCCTGTCTCCTCATGATGTGGCCAAAGTACTTCAACTTTGTCTCTAGTATCTTTCCCTCCAGTGAGCAGTCGGGCTTTATTTCCTGGAGGATGGACTGGTTGGATCTTCTCGCAGTCCAAGGCACTCTCAGAACTTTCCTCCAACACCACAGCTCAAAAGCATCGATCTTCCTTCGCTCAGCCTTCCCTAAGGTCCAGCTCTCACGTCCGTAGGTTACTACAGGGAATACCATGGCTTTGACTAGGCGGATCTTTGTTGCCAGTCTGATGTCTCTACTCTTTACTATTTTATCGAGATTGGACATTGGAGATTGGTTTTTATCATAATGTACAGAAATAGATCCAGGAGCAGATGTGTAGAGAAAATTACCGGAGACATATGTGTGAACCCTCTCAAATGCCTAATAAGTACAGTCACCAAGATATATACACTTAATAAGCAGCAGTTTTTAATGGCACCAAAAAAGAGCTATTTTTCTATATCTGCCTGCCTTTGTCATAGAGGAGCCAGAAGCAGAAACCTATCATTGCAGCAACTCTTCTCCAAGAAAAGAATTGTCTACTCAGAGAAGAAGACCTATTGAGTCATGGCATTATTTCGAAGGTATCTATAGTGCCACCTTAGGAAATGTGTCCACAGAGTGGCTTCCTTTAATGTTTGCTGTGGAATGAATCCTAATGGACTCCCATGACTGGCCATGAAAAAGAAAAATAAGAAGCTGCTTTGTAGTTCATTGACCACTATACCAAGAGGTCCAAATCTAGTCTTTATTTTGCTGTGTGCTAATATTGACCTTGGAGTCAGTAGTTCCTGAATGTGGTTATCAAATGAATGAAACCATCAACCTAATGTTTTGTGGTTGTCTTGTGCTGATAGGGAGAATGCCGTATAATCTGGATTTCTGGGCAGTACAGTAAGGCCTAAATCCAGAAAGATGCCAGACTGCATCTTAATTTGGTAGCTAAGCAGAGCCAGTACTGGCTAGTATCTAGATGAGAGACCAACAAGGAATGCCAAGGTGCGACATGCTGTATTTCAGAAGAATGCAGTGGCAAACCAGCTCTGATTATTTATTGCCTAAGAAGTTCAATGTAGTTCAAGAGGTCACAATAAATCAACAAGCAGCGTGAATACACATGTCGACACACACCATATGCACACAGAGTCTAAACTGGAAAGGGAGCATTTGTTACTAAGAATGAATATATATATATACGCTTGTCTTCCCTTGATGGGTAAAAAGTCTTTCAAAGCCTCCCAATGGCGTTTTGTCATTGTCAAACTTTTCTCTGCTACTGTGAAATCTAGAAAGTCATTTTCAGAAGGAAACTGGGTGCTAAAATTTGGTCGCCGTAGTGAGTCAGATTAAATGTCATGCTGCTTTGTTTTAAGTTGTGCTTCCTTCTAAATCCCTGGAGTTCAGTTTTATTTTTAGCTTTTGCCCTTGGTGGAACCCCATTGTATAAACAAGCCCTTGTTTTTCAAGGCTTGATATCCTCATTCTTTTCCATGATGTTCCCTGAGCTGGTTTAGTTTTCTTTGCCCTCATAAATTATGGGGCATATTTGCTTTGATATGGTAGATTTAGATCTAATTACAGTAGGTTTGAAAAGATGAGGGCCTCTTATGAAAGGGTCTATTTATGCAAATTTTGGACAGTTGGTGTCCTTAACAATCTGGTTTAAAAATATATAGATGCATAAAACAAATCTTTTCATCAACTTTCCTACATACATTCAAATTTTGTTCTCAGGAAATAATATTTTCTTTTAGAACCTAAGTTCCTTTGTCACATTCAATAGTACTGTAATATGTTTTATGGAATCTTCTACATTGCTATCTCAAATAACCTGTTGAATTTAATTACACATTTAAACATATCCTAATGATGATTACTCACTCTTTTTTTTTAGAATTGCTGGACCTCCAGCCTTTACCTATCACAGCCTTGGGACATCCTGAATATCAAGCTCTATACAAATTCACACACTTCAACCCAATTCAGACGCAAATATTCCATACATTATATCACACAGATTGCAATGTCCTCCTGGGAGCTCCCACTGGTTCAGGAAAGACAGTTGCGGCGGAATTAGCTATCTTTAGGATTTTCAACCATTATCCCACATCAAAGGTTTGCAAAATCATTATTTCTTTGTGAAGTGTTCACTTTGTGTATTCTGCTTCTGGTTAATTCTCAACTTGTACAGTGACTAGACAGAAATATTCAGTAAGTGTTGTCTAAATGGTATTCTCACCTGCTTTATCATATTTTGTCAAATTGGAAAGACTACTGCTAAAACTGAAAATACTGTTTTCTTTGCTTTATGCAAAACCAAAATAAAACCTGCAGGCAAGTAATTATCTCTGCAACCAGGAGAAAAAAATTATTTAATTTTGTAACATTTTTGAAACACCCTTTAAATGTTTTCTACATAAATTACAAATAAGTTCAAATTTGAGAGTATAAAGTTAAAACTTAAAGTAAAAAAAAAACACAAAAAATTTTTGTGTCTCTCTTTATGCCAGCAGCTGCCTGCTACCACTTCTGAGCAGGAGCACCACAGTTGCAGCCTCAACGTTGAATGGGGCAATTGGCAGCAAAAAGTTTCAATTTCCCACCATTTCACAGATCCTCAGTCTCTCTCCAATCTTGTGTCTGATGCATGATACAAATAAATGAATGAGGAGTGAGACTGGAGAGAGGTGCAAGAATGAAAAAGACACAAACACGCCCAAGGCAGGCAGTGAAGCAGCATAAGTACAGGTTGGACACAATGTGTCTCATTATGTATATGGAAACACAGGTATCACATAATCCAAAAAATGGAACACTTCTGGTCCCAAGGATTTTGAATAAGGAATACACAACCTGTACCAGTGGGCCATTTTGTAGATTAAATATGACCCCAAAAGTTTATTACTATATACTGAATTTACATGATTCTAAAGCACTCCTTTTTTGGCTAAATGGCCCTGCCAAAATTGGGGTGTGCATTAGAATCATGTAATACTCCTTGGGAGCTGGCAAAGCTGTCAGCAAAGGGGCAACAAGGCAGCAACGCAACCAGCAAAGGGGCAAGCCAGCAAAGGGCAAAGCGGCAAGGCAGCCGGCAAAGCTCTTTGCAACTTTCTTCTTGGCTTGCTAGGGCCGCTGCCTTGCCAGCCACAGGCCTCAAAGCGAAAGAAGAGGAAGAGGTAAAGGCAGCCTCTTTCACACTGGCTCACCAGCCTTGGAACCACCACTGCAGAGCTCCTTTCCTTCTTTCTCTCTGCAGTCCACTCTTTCTTCTCTCTACCCTTTCTTTCTTATGCCTTCTTTTTATTCTCTTTTTCTCTCTCTGCCTTTTCTTTCAAGACCCCTTTCTCCCATTCCTTCTTGTATCTTTTTTCTATTCTGTTACTGCATTTTGCCAGCGAACCTTTTTTTGTGTGTGTGGTTTCAGGGTCTTGAAAATTTAAGTGCATATTAGATTCTATGGGGTACTAGATTCGAGTAAATAAGACAATTTGTGCTATCACGTTGCTCTAAATATTTGGATAGCTAAGTATACAGGTTGTTTTATAATAACATTTTATGCTTTGGCGATAAATATAATAATGGCATTCTGGTCATATAAATGAGTAGATATTTTAAGTTCAAGTTTGTGTAACTACTTTGAAGACTAAATTATTTTTGAGAGACGAAGCAATCATTTTCAATTTGCAGCAAGATACAATCAGCTAGACATTAATAAAATGCTTCAAATGTTGGCCTTCAAAACCATCATAGCATGATTACACGGTTTATTTATATTTTTCTTTGTGCTTCTTTCCTTTGTGCCTTGAAGGCAGTATATATTGCTCCCCTAAAAGCTTTGGTGCGAGAAAGAATTGAAGACTGGAAAATCAGAATTGAAGAAAAGCTTGGTAAAAAGTAAGTTTCTTTTTTAAAAAAAATCCCTAAGATGATCAAAAATGAAATGTTCTAAGCCTCAGTAATGCCCACTATACAGGCAAATGTGTGCTTCCAGTAATTCTTTTTCCTGCCATGTCTACATTACTTGTCAGTAATGCCATAAGAAAATTGGTGTTCGTGCGCGTTTCCTAATTTTTGTTAATAAAATTTAAGCTGTCTTCAGATAATATTCCTGAAATTTGAAGTGTTATTTTTTATAAAACCATGCAGATATGCAATGCTTCTGAAATGCTTCCAAAACCCATGATCTTCCTAATTTGATATGCATATCCTGCTAAAAAATAGAACCTTCCTTACATGTTGATCTGACTTTATTTAAGCATCCTTGTATTGAAACATATTGTCCAAATAAATTACTGTTCAGAATCAATTTATACTAGTGAAATTATTTTAATTAGTTCTTTGATAAAAAAAATCAGATGACCTTTTCTTTTTTAAAAAATCTCTAGGTTTATATGAGAGATTTTACTATTCACTAGGACATCTATGCAATTATCCTCACCCTCAGCGCTCAGATAGAGATTCACTACTTTTTTTAATGAACATGAAGTGACCCTAGTATCTGGGATACTATTGTGGATTCACTGTTTCATTCAGACACTATAGTGTTATTTATCATGTTTATATGAAAGATCAATGCTCTTGCCCTACTGTCTGCTCCCCAAATAGATAAGAATGCCTATTGTATCACTTCACAATGACCATTTGACTCCCTTTACAGGGTTGTGGAGTTGACAGGAGATGTGACTCCTGATATGAGGTCAATTGCCCAAGCTGACCTTATTGTTACTACTCCAGAGAAATGGGATGGGGTCAGCAGAAGCTGGCAGAATAGAAGCTATGTTCAGAAAGTTTCCATTCTTATCATAGATGAGATCCATCTTCTAGGTGAGCATCGTTTTTATCATTATTATTGCTGGAATTGAAGTGTGCTCTAGCATTGCTAGCTGAACTTTAAAAAATATTGACATGGATTCTTCTTTTTCTTTTTCTTTCTTCTCTAGGGGATGAGAGAGGCCCTGTGCTAGAAGTTATTGTCTCTCGGACTAACTTCATCTCATCGCACACGGAAAAACCTGTCCGAGTGGTTGGTCTGTCAACTGCGTTGGCTAATGCCAGAGATCTTGCTGACTGGCTAAATATCAATCAGGTATACAGAAGACAGTAAAGCCCACCAGAGGAAGATAGTGATAGGGGATAGCAACTGTTGTGAAAGCTAGTTACTGAATTCAGTATTGTTGTACTTTTACTGCAACACAATGTTTCAAGCCAGCCACGGCATTTATAGTAGCAGCCTAGCTTTATTATAAAGAATAAAATCATCTTTCAGCATGAACAAATAACCACTTTGTCCTGTCTCTTTAGATGGGTCTGTTCAATTTCAGGCCTTCAGTGCGTCCAGTTCCATTGGAAGTACACATTCAGGGCTTCCCAGGGCAGCACTATTGTCCCCGTATGGCAAGCATGAACAAGCCGGCATTTCAGGGTATGTAGCTACAGCTATACTTTTTTAAAAAAAATCACATTAAACAAATTCATATCTTGAGTTGTGTATCTTTTTAGTTTGCTTTAAGAAGAACGATTTCTTAACAGTATGACCTGGTTTCGGACCTCATACATTAAAATCGCTAACATAACACATGCTAATGGAACCTGAATGTATTTCAAACATAATAATTGAAATTACTGTTAGCATTTGACACAATGGAAATATTGTGCTATTAATATTTTAAAATGTACAACCTATAAACCGTTTTTTGGTATAAATTCAGAAAACAGAAGTTACATGTCAAGCTAAGTTTCCATAATTCTGATTTCAGAGCAGTAACCATAAACTTCAGAATTTTCAGTGAAACTAAATATGTCTCTCTTTTCAATGTTTTATTCTTAAACTGGCAAGTGGGATAGATTTAACAACCACCTTCATATTCTATTGAAACATGTTCCATATAGGTTTCATGAGGAATATTTATTATATCAATTAAAAAGAAGTTCCTAAATAAATTTTGTGATGTGAACTGCTGTTGATTGTAAGGCGACAGTTGTGAGGTGACTTTTTAGCTGATCTAATTAGCCTTATGACAGAAGCGAAGTATTGATTGGAGGCTGGAGACCAATCTTGGCAGTCTAGATTATTTACACCTCAAGAAGGAGCATTGTAGAAAAACACTAATGACCAATAAATCTGTCCAGAGCTGTTCAGCCACACCTGTTCCTGAAGGAACAAAAATTCATTAGCTATCAAGCTTTCCTTAGGAAATAAATTGATTTCTATAGGAAGAGGATGTAATAACATAACATTACCCTCAGCTCTATCATATAATGCCACATCGGTTCTCTTCAACAAAAAAGTATTGTCATGGTTTATACTAAAATTGAACTTCAATATGAGTTCATAAGCCTCCATAATGAAATAAAATTGTTAGATTTAGCAAGTTGTTTCCAATTTAATCATATGTTGCACATATTAATAACTATACTGTTAACCTTTTTGCTGTTTCATCAGTTTGCTACAGAAATGTGATAGCCAAACAACTTTCCATTCCAGTCTGAATGTGTCAACATTTTCCCATTATAATCTCTATTTCCCAGCCCATTACATTTTGCTGTGAGCTGACACTCTTCATATTTATCAAGATGATCCTTTACAAATCAAGCTTTTTTGGCTTACATATGTTACTAAAAATATTTTTAAAACCCGGTAAAATAACTCAAGACAAACAAAAAGTTTAAATGTTCCCTGTCTCTACTATAATTCTTCAAATATTTGAGGCTTTCCTTTGAATGTCAGTAAATGTGTCATTTTAATTTTTTCAGCCCTTTTCATACATGTATGTCTGATATAAGATGGAAAATGCTGCTTTGAGGAACTGGATTTCATTGTTCCAAATTATTGTTTTTGTTTTTGTTTTTGTTTAAAAAAAACAGCTATTCGAAGTCATTCTCCAGCCAAGCCTGTTCTTATATTTGTATCATCCCGACGTCAAACTAGACTTACTGCTTTGGAGTTGATTGCTTTTTTGGCAACTGAGGATGATCCAAAACAGTGGCTGAATATGGATGAAAGAGAGGTAAGTGCACTGACTGAGTAAAGTGTATGTGATTATTGCTTGGCAGGCATATAGCATTAAGAGTGAGCTCCATTAGGAAATTCTTGTATGATTTGCCAGTATCTCCCTTCCTCTTTAATAATATTTAAACATAGATTTGGGGTACACAATATTCCTGTTTGTTTAATGTTGATTGGGCAGTTATGAGTGGCCTCAGTTCATTCCTTCTCTAAACTATTTCCCTACCCCTTCCAAGACCTTCATTAGATATAAATACAGTACAAACAACAGTATTACTTATAGTGAAATCTAACAGGGTGCCCCTTTTGATAAGGAGTTCATACCAGAGTTTCACAATTGATGGTGACAAGGGAAGAATAGGAGGAATTGGCATTCTAAAACAGAGAAGCTGGGAGGAGAGAAAGTACACCATAAAACATAAAAGGGGCATATCTAGTTCAGCATTTTTTTCACACAGTGATCTGCCAGATGTTTATAGAAAGCCCATGAAAGCAGCACATTATTGCAATAGGGCTGCTTCTGATCCTGGAGGTAATATATAGCCAATATGACTCCTGTTGTTGCTTCTGATTCTTTAAACGGTATTGTTTAGAGTTCCGCATGTGCAAGCTATGTTCTGTTAATAATGATATGGGTTTCCTGGTGGAGGTGGAGGAAAGAACTGGAAAATATTATGGAAAAATTCAGTTATTTTATTGAGGAATATGTAATGATGTAAAAAAGAACCATATATACTTCCTTGCCTATCTGAGCTCACTTAAATGTTGAAATCTTCAAGGAAAGGTATGTGCTTCCCAAAAGGTAGTTTCCCTGGGTTCAGAACGGATTTCAAAACATTGAACAAAGATAATGGCCTTATGGTTCACAACATATATTAATGTAAAAGTTGACAGTAACTGACCATTAAAAAAATCTGAAAGAAATGAAATACGATTTGCACCTTTCTGGATCGTATTACATTCTATCCCATTCCCACAAATGTACAAATACGCTTTTGTACAGTCAGGCCTCATCATAAATCTGTATTGCATTTGAAGAAGTGAGTTTATATCTATGAAAACTCATTCTAAAATAAAAACAGCCTTGTTTCATTTTTGTATTATTCCCTTTCAGTTTACAGACTTGCATACCTATGAATAGCTAAGGTGTTTCTTGAGAAAGTTGACATCTCTCCTTTATGGTTTGGGAAGCCCTCTTTTGCTTTCATACTGTTAGGCTTCTGATCATGTGTGGTTGAATACTTTTTTTATCCAATCCAAAGTCTTGTCTCTGTCCAATGCTGGCTTTGATGTTATGGGATGAGATAAGACTTCAAGATGGATTGAATAAAAAAAATTCTTTGATGGATTGTACTATACCATTCAAGCATTATTTTAGTGTCATCTAGGAGTATCATCATTATATCATATCATGGTCAAATATGATTGTCTTCCATGGTAGGATCTTGGTGGTGGATCCATAAGTGACTATGGAGACCTATTCAGGATCTGCATGGTCTTTCATAATAAGGACATAGATTTCCAGATGGAAGGCAGTCCCAACAAGGGTTTGCTTGACACACCATCTTCTTGGCACATTTCTCCCTTTCTCTCTCTATTTATGCCTCTTCAAAATCCATGGCACCATTGGTAACAGCTGACCTCGAGTCAAAACACTTGAGGACCAGGGATTCCCAGTTCTCTGTGTTACTGCACTTTTTTTTTTTTTAGTTTAATGCAATGTCGAAGACTTTTTTAGTTTAGCTTTACGCCCATCTTTCAGTTTCTTTTGCTATCCACCGACATTCCGTTTTCTTTGAGCGGAGAATAAAGCAGTTGCTTTGGGAGACAGTAATTGGGAATTTGGACAATTTGGCCAGTCCAGCGAAGTTGATGGCGGAGAACCATCGCTTCTATTCTTGTGGTCTTCGCTTATTCTGGTGTTTGTCCGCCTGTTTTCCCAAGAGATTTGTAGAATTTTTCTAAGGCAATGCTGATGGAGTCATTCCAGAAATCAAGAGTGACACTTGTTCATGGTCCATATTTCACAAGCTTTTGTTTGATATTGTCCATATCAAACAATATACCTCCTGTCATTCTTCCAGATTAGCCATATGGTGAGATCTGATAGGCATTGCAGTCCAACCTCTGAAAAAACTGATGTATGTAAAATTCCCAAACCATATCAAAGAAGATTAAGCTACATGTCGTCATAATTTCAGTAATAGTAGTGATGGTAGTATCACCACACAGATTTTACAGTGTTTATTCAAAAAAATACTGTTGAAAGCAGAAACTAGTTACTGGCAGAAATCTAAAAATTGCAGTATTTCAAAGGTTTGCTTGCTTGTTCTTTCTTCGATACAGTCTGAAGATTTCACTTCTTTGACGGTTGTGATAAAATTTGTTTGTGGGTTTCAAAAGCAATAGCTTTTCTACAGCAAATTTAGTTTTCTAAACATCTTCCACTTGCTAAGGTTTCACTACAGTTAATTTAGAAAAATTAATGTAACTTCTTAAAATGTTGATATCTAGTAAGAGTTAACAAATGGCTCATCCAAATCCTGCTGAGATCATGTGGAAACACGTTAGATGGAAGTCTTTGTGACTTGAACAGGAAACCACATGTAAAGTTGAGAATGTGTGAAGCAAAATGTGCGTGCACACATAAAGACAAATATGCTTTCTAGATGGATCTAAAAACAAATAAATAATGTTAACATTCTGAATTTCTACTCCATTTAATGTCTTACAGCTATAGAGTGTATTCCTCTACTTCTAATATTTTATCAGCAATGTAATATTTTCAGTGTGACACATAATGAAGCAAAAATTTGATTTTTTGATGTTTGATTTTGAACATTGTGTGAGAGGTTGTCATGATTTTCTGGTAAAATCTGTACTTAATTTTTTTTTATCTTCTTTGCTTTCGTGGTTCAATACTGGAAAACTAATGACACTGATATTAATCTTTGAGGAAATAAAACTATGTTCATATAATCAGCTTCTATTAGGAAGCCAGTAACATCCCAAATGTGGGATCTGACCACATTTATATATTTCCTTGCATAGAACATGGCTCTATAGCCCGAAAAAAAACCCACAAGAACCTAGTTTCCTTGCATAGTTAGCTATTTTAAATATATATATATTTGCATATGTTTGTTTGTTCAGATTATTCTATTTATCTTGTTTTTCCTCCAGATTCGTACAGGCATAATTTATAGCTATCGCTCCTAAATTATATTCTCACAACAATCCTGTGAAGGAGAATAACAATATTGACAGGCCAGAAATCACTGAGTAAACTTCATAGCTGAGTGGAGATTGAATATATGTCTCCAAAGCCTAAGGATGCATCTGCACTGTAGAATTAATGCAATTTTATACCACTTTAACTGCTATGGCTCAGTGCTATGGAATCCTGGAATTTGTAGTTTGGTGATGTACCAGCAGTTTGGCAGATAAAACTAAGAAACTTGTAAAACTACAACTGCAATGATTCCATAGCATTGAGTCATGGCAGTTAAATAGTGTCAAACTGCATTAATTCTGCAATGTAGAGTCTGCCTTGGTCCACCATTGTGTTGCATTTAATCCTAGTAATTCAGAGCTGCTTAGGATGAGACATAGTGGAAATCTATCAGAATTTAGAGACTTTCTTGCTCAAGGTGGACGTGAAAGAAGAGGATCTTTCACAGGATTTTCACTATGGCTTATTTCTACAGAGTTGTATATTGTACTTAAAAAAAAAACACCATGCCATTTCACTTTACCACAGCAGTACTTTAACTTTACTTAACATCTGTGCCAGATGTGAAATGTGTAATTATATTTTGTTTTAAGACTTCATAACTTTCCTGATTCTTTTGTTCAGGCCATCTTTCTTTGACGTCCATTTCAGACAATCTATAAGTGTTATGCAGTGGCATATGGTCTGAGTCTGATGTGCTTTGAAAAGGGTACAGAGTACTAATAATGAGGATTCTGCAAAAATGGGAAAACCAGGACGGCAGATATGCTTTGAGGAAGTATGGGGTTTTAGCATCTTGAAACAATATATCACACTCAAAGGGACAGAATTGGGCTGCACAATCTGTTAGCTCATTCTTGTCCAATCTGGTCTCCTCCTTTCTTTTGGAGCCAGCGTTGTCATCAACTTACTGAATTATACTCTGACTGGAATGAATTTCAGACACAGGGTAATGTATCTACTTAAATGGAATTCTGTCTTCTTTTTTTAACAAAACCTTTTTTGGTATAATTTTTAATAAAATAGCAAAAATCCCACATTGTTTACATTATGTTGTTCAGAATTTTGCATTTGTGACATACTGAAGGGGGTGGAGAAATCTAGTTACTCATTTTATAATAATCTTCCCATTTCTTAAGTTTTATTTCTGCCCCTTACACATTTTTTTTAAAATGGAAACTATATCTTGTTCTGTAAAAGGGATTTTAGCTTTTGAAGATAGCTATGAAACGACATGTCCATTATTAAACAATATAACATAAAGGCAATGCTTTTTCAACAGTTTAAATATCAATGTGCTATCAATTTTCTCAGGAGTGCTGAAGTTGCTTTAAAATGTATTAATATTAAAATGGACCCACTTTGGTGGGTTGCCAAAATCTATCCTGCCAGCTGAACAACTGGTGTCCTTAAAGTTAGAGCTGTTTTACAACATAAATGCATCGGGCAAGTATATGGTGCCTTTTCATAGTGACACTTGTTTCTACTTTCACAAAACATGTTTATTTTTTAAATAATTATTTAGGCGTATTACCCCGACCTTCTCTTTTTTTGTTGTGCTGAGCAAGGCTTTGCAAACTATTAACAGGGTAATATGGTACATGTTTACTGGGAAATGAGTCCTACTGAATTCACAACTTGAGTTGTGTTTCATACTTTTGGTGAGCAAAACGCTGGCCATGAAAGCCTTCGATAACACGCTTCTTAGAGCCTTACAGTGGAATTGTCCCAACATATTTGGCCTGGAAACTGCCCTTCCAGGATAGTATGGGAAGGTGTATTTCAGTATAGTTTTTTTAAAAATTGACTCAAGAAAGAAATCTTCTACAAAATTAATTTTTTTCAGAATTTTGAAGCTCAAGCAAACCCATCTGTTTGTGGGTAAAACAGTTTCTTTCTCACTTTACTGCACTGATTTATGTGAAAGTGAGGTGGGCTTACAAGAAATGACTAAGCTTCCCCGCTGCTAAGATGTCAGGCTTGCAGCGCATATGCCAGCACTCCTGCTAAGAGCCCTTTAGTTTTACTGTGTTAAATTACACAGCTTTGCAGGCATCACTATCATACACCACAGGGCACTGCATATTTGGGAGGAGCAGCTTTCTGGTGAAAAATGTAGCAAAAAGAATGGTTAATTTTCTTATTGAATAGTTCATGTGTTACCACAATTAGACTATCTCATCAGGGCCAAATCTTGAAATATCACTATAACTGCATTGTCACAGATCATGCAGTGTGAGCTAATGATAAAAAGGAAGATTTTTGTAGTGAGTTATGCAGCATTTTATATTTACATTGTATATATGCCACTAAACTTTTAATGACGATTGATACACTTACAGTTTTGTTCCAATGAGCAGCATTGTGATTTATCCTCACACCAAAACTGGTGGATTCTTACACAAATTTAAAGTTTTTGTTCTGCATGATTTATTTTTGGGTCAAAAGACTCAGGATCTATCCACCTAAACTGCTATGACTACATTTGGTGGAATTGTGGGGTTTGTAGTTTTGTATGGCTAAAGAGCTCTTTGGCTGGAAAGTCTAAATGCCCCTTCCTAAACTACAAGTCCCATCATCCCATACATTGTTATCATAGTTAAATTGGAATAATAGTCCTATTAAATCAGAGCCTATTAAACCTATTAATTCTTTGAGACCATACATTACTTCTCGGTTAAACAAACATTTCTGGGCTGCTTCTGACTTTTAGAGTCCTGTATGACTTGGATCTAGGTTTTCTGAAGGATTGTAACTTCATGTATGAAACTTCCTGGGCTGAACTGTGTCCTGTCTTGTTGATTTTTATCTTCCGTTTCTAATGGAATCTAAACCATTTTGAATATAGAAATTGATAATTTGTAGTTTAAAATAGCTTTTATATATATCCCTATTATCCTTGTATGTTTACTGGTTTCATATCTTTTAAACTACTTTGAGTAATAGGGGGAAGGCAGAATATGATATGATAAACTCTTGGCATGCTGCAATATACAATTTACTATGTTTTACTAACATTTTTGAAAAGCAGATATGTGCTTTAAATTCCAAAGATGTATTTATAGTTGCTATATTGTGTGAATGTTTTAAAAGGTTATAAGAGTGACTTCCAGCACCAACTTCAGTTTTCTTGACACAAGTTTCTCATATTATCTCAAACAGTGTTTCTGCAACTTTTCTACATCTCAGAAAGGTTTTTGGGTAATATGGGTTGTGTTTTCAGAAAGTAGAAATTCAGTTTTACCCCTCACTTTGCCTTTGAGTTCACACTGTTTTCAAATATTTCTTGCCTGAAAATGCATTTTAGTTGAAATATTAAGGGATGAATTGTAGCCACATGTCTAAAACTTATAAAATCTTCTCTTTGTTAATTCATATTTTTTCTGTTTTACTGGCATATGTAATACATTATGAAGCTGACTAATGAGCGTTGTGGCTAATTTAAATCCCATTGATTTCCGAACAGGACAGAGTTTAATGCAGCCTGACAAGTTTATATAGAATACTACTGTTTTCTCTTTCCTGTGCTTTTTAATTTGCTTTCATGGGATATTAATTAATTTCTCTGTTAGTGAACAGGCTTGTTTACGAAGTAGTATCCCAGAATAATAGATTTTTCAGATATTTCCTATTTAATGCTGAAAGTTGTCTATTAGAGTCTTAAACTAATTTACATATATATATTCTTTTTTTACATTACAGATGAGTGCCATCATAGGAACAATCAGAGAGTCTAACCTGAAGCTTACCCTTGCCTTTGGCATAGGTATCCACCACGCTGGCCTACATGAACGAGATAGAAAAACAGTGGAGGAGTTGTTTGTCAACTGCAAAATCCAAGTACACACTTTCTGTCTGTAACATAATGTTGAAGGGTTTTCTAATTCACTTTCAAAAGTTGTGCTTATTTTCATACCAAATTCTTTTCTCGTTTTTAGGTTCTGATTGCCACTAGCACATTAGCCTGGGGTGTCAATTTTCCAGCACATTTAGTAATTGTCAAAGGAACAGAGTTTTATGATGGAAAAACAAGGCGTTACGTTGATTATCCAATTACAGGTATTGTCAAAAATCATAGGTCTGTCAGAACAATCTATATTATCCCTATATGGCAACAGCATAGAAAGCATAATGTATAAGTTGAGAGCACGTTTTGAGACCAAAACTATGAATTTTAATATGACCCATGGAAATGTCAAGGGTCATTCTTTTGGAGAGGGGAAATGGAGTAACCTAGCCCTGACTGCTGCTGCTATTTTTCCACCCAGGCCTTCAAAAAGACCAAAAGTGGTAACATGGCAGAGAAAGTAGAGGGGGGCAGTGTTTCTTCTAGATTCTCCTGGTATGGACTTAGTTCTCGTCTTTTGCCATTCTATTGAGAGAAGGAGAGGGTCCCTTTTTTTTTAATAACTTAATGTACGCTGTCCATATTGACCTATGGATAAATTGACCCAGTTTTGAGAGGATTTTAAAAAAAGAAAATTGTTATACTTTTACATGAGTATATAGGGTAACCAATTGTTTTCTTAGACATGAAATAGAAATAACTGAGCGATATTTATTACACTTTTTTCTTAAACTCTTTAGCAATAGAACTTACTTTTTAAAAATTCTTGTTATATTTTGAGAATGCTAAAACAAGAGAAATCCAAAGGCTAGTAGTAAAAAGAAGTGAAAAAACACAATTGAATAAGTTATCACATTAAAAGCCATTACATTTTAAAATGCAAAATAATTTTAAAAGATAACAACAAAGTTGTTTTATCCATGCTGTAGAGTGGTCAAGGCTTTGATGACAGAGTAATTATTTGCAGACATATGTTCCCAAGACTCGGTATCTCCAGTAGAAAAGATCTTAGATAACTGTGAATGTGAATTTTGTAAAGTCAAATGCTTGTCCAACCTGATATCTACTGTGCAGAATTAATAGGGCCACATAGGATAAAACACCATGTGTAAACATGACTGGAAAAGGTATTTAGAAACATTAAAATGATGTTCTCAGCCCCTATACTACTGAGACTTGTTCAGTCAAATTTTATTCTTGAGAGGTGTACCTATATCTTGCCCAAAACAAAAGCAATAAACACTGCAACTGAATATGTCTTTGTTTTTTAATATTTTAATTTTATTAATATTTCAGTAAATATAATATGATTACAGTATCACATCTGTATTTTAGAATATCCATAATATTATGTAGAACAGATTCAATCATCTATACCTAAATATCCTAGCAGATAAAATGAAACTTTCCTACCCTTTACCTCCTCTATATAAAAATGTAAGAATAGTGAAGTTGTGTTATACTTACTGTTGTCATTATTTGATTTTTGTAGATGTTCTTCAGATGATGGGACGTGCTGGTAGACCTCAGTTTGATGATCAAGGCAAAGCTGTGATTCTAGTTCATGACATCAAGAAAGACTTCTACAAAAAATTCCTCTATGAACCTTTCCCAGTAGAATCGAGGTAAATGAGAAACCACACTTTATGAAAAAATGTGATTCATAAATGCATTATCTTCCCTAAATCTCAGCATTGTGCAGTTTTCAGAAAATTCAATTCCAAGCAGATTTCTGCCTCCAGGTGGACTCCTTTGGTTACATTGCCAAACTAGGACATTACTAACCAAGTACTTTCTAAGGCAGTGGTTCTCAACCTGTGGATCCCCAGGTTGTTTTGGACTACAACTCCTAGAAATCCCAACCAGTTTACCAGCTGTTGGAATTTCTGGGAGTTGAGGGCCTAAACATCTGGGGACCCACAGGTTGAGAACCACTGTTCGAAGGGTTTGATTAAGTATATGAATTGCCACTGTATGTGTGGTGACACCCAGATTTATTTATCCATGCACAGAAATTTCTCAGGCACTGGATATGGGGGATGTTGAGAGAGTAGGTAAGTGAGAGAACAGATGGAGCAATAGTACCAAAAGCTTCACTGTTTACTACTAACATTCTCCTTTAGCAGAGGTCCCAGTGGCTTCTTGTCCTTTATTGTGGAATTCAAAGATATTCCTTAAAGTAATAATGATGCCGTCTTTTACTAAGACATTTTCGAGTAGAATGACTTGTCTTTCTTAAATACTGGTAGAATTTTCCCATTCTGGATGTTCTATGTGGGATCAGTCTTAATAGCTGCAGTCTGATTTTACAGACCTAGAAGCTAAAGGCTGATGTTTAAGACTGTTTGTTGCATCCAATTTGAATGTTTTGTGTGCATAATACCATTACAGGCTTGATGTGAATTCGTTAGTGCAATTTTTATTATTGATATATTCATTTTTCTTTAGTTTGCTGGAAGTTTTGTCTGATCACTTAAATGCTGAAATTGCAGCTGGAACTATTACATCAAAACAGGATGCAATGGATTACATCACCTGGACCTATTTCTTCCGTCGCCTTATCATGAATCCCAGGTGAGTTGTTGAGAGACTGAGGCCCTTTCCACACAGCTGAATAAATCCCCCATTTTCTGCTTTGAACTGGAATATGTGGCAGTGTGGACTCAGATAACCCAGTTCAAAGCAGACATTGTGGGATTTTTTGCCTTGATATCTTGGGTTATATCGTTGTGTGGAAGGACACTGACAGAATATGAAGTAGAGTAAGTAATATTGAAGGCTTTGATTCAAATCTTGTTCAACTGTGAACATTTTTCTAAGGTCCCATCTACACTGACAATTTAGTGTGGCCAGACAATTAATTGCCACAAAAGCACGCAAAAAAGCTCTTAATGCTCATTGCTGCTCTGTGCTTTGTCATCACTATCCAAACCTCAAACTAGTCCCAGCATTACCTGTGTAATAATCTATATAGCAAAACCACGTTCTTCAATACTGGCTTGAGTGACTGAACTTCTGGGGTTTTCACCATGTCTAGTTCTACTCCCGTACTACGATTTTTCATGGAATAGTTTTTCTGCTGAAACAAAGCAAATCTAGTCCTATGAGCTTGCTTAGATGGTTGACCACTTGGAAGCCATATGTCAGCGTTTCTAAACTCTTCTGAAAGTGGGCAGGGTATATATCTAAGTAAATAAATTGCACCATGAGATTTGGTCATATTACATATATTTCAGTACATAGATATTCAGCATCCTAGTTGTGTTATGCTTGGATTACTTTCTCTGATTTTTATTATGCTGATGTGAGTTTTCATTGTATAAATATTGTGCAAATGATTTATAAAGTGCTTTTAACACTTTACTTATAACGAATGGCTTATAAGTGCCTGCTATTGCATATTCAAAAGGAGGGTATACGAGTAAATAGCTTCTTAATTTTTCCCTTCACAGTAGAAAATCCCACCCCCACCCCAATCATACTAGTTGGCAATTCAGCCCACATGCATTGCTTTGGATCTAGGTGCTGTTGTTAGCTTGGTTTGTCAATTAAGTTACCCAACTTATTATACCTTTGGCAAAGATCTGTGGAACTGCTTAGCTTCACACTAGACACTTTAACTCAGATTTTTGGGTCTTTTAATAAATTATCTTCCCATGGCTCTTCATAAGCCTTTTTTGAAACACCCGTCAGTTTAAAACGTAATGTTCTGTGTGATATGATGACTATGTTGTTTGTCTTGTATTGTCTGTCGAGTATGTTGTGTTTTAACTAATTGTTATTGTTATAAATTGCATTGTAAACCGCATTGAGTCGCCGAATTAGGCTGAAAAATGCGGTATAAAAATAAAGCAAATAAATAAATAAATAAATATGAGAATACAGTTGTTTGATAAAAACAAGTCCCTTTGGGCTTGTTGAAATACCTTTTTGGAATCGGATCTTCTTTCATTAATTGAAATAATTATCTAAATTTCCTACGTTAGACCATATCTTCCCAATTGAAGGGGGGAAATACTTGGATGATAAGACTTAAACAGTGTGCTTGTCATAAAGACACAAGAAACAAGTATAGTACATTGTAAAACACAGCTCTTCTGAGAATCAATCTAAATCTAAAGTTTGTTCTTAAATAAATTGGGCCAAACTTCCCACACGGAAACCCCCATGGCCAACAGAAAATACTGTGTTTTCTGATGGTCTTCAGTGACCCCTCTGAGACTCCCCCCGCAACCCATCCAGGGGTTCCTACCCCCAGGTTGAGAAACACTGCTATAGGAGAAGGATCTCTCAAGGAATCCTTCTATAGGAGCTTGTGATGTGATAGAAAGGAGGGAAGTGAACACACATGGGCATTATATTTCCAAATGAAAATACAGTAAGCTTCAGTTTGTTGTTCCTGTGTTTTTTCCACTGTAATACATACTTTTGTTGTAAACCTTCCATATTGTAATCGCTATTACTAATCCTGAGTGATATTCAGCCATGTCATTGTGTTTTGTGCAAATAGTGTACTGCCAGCTGTTACGCATTTTCAGAAATAGCAATAAAATTATGATCTGTTCAGTTTGGATTGCATAAGAATGTGCACCCAGTTGTACAATCTGTTGTACAACTGCTTTGCTCATCCTCATCCTCCAGCACACTTTTTCTAGAGGGGATTTTCTCCCCAATAAAGCCAAGCTGGAGTTAAGCCACTATATTTAGTATAGAGTTCCATCCTTGCCGAAAAGGCAAACAAGCATCATATATGAATGTGCGCGCGCACACACACACACACACACACTAAGCATACATTTTGGGATTCAGAACATGTAATCTGTACATGGATCTTTCTTATTCGAGTCACAGAAGCCATTTTCAAAAAGAACAGCGTAGCAGATGTTGTAAATGTGTGCTACTACTCAGAAAATGGTTTAGGGATGGTTCAGAGTAAAACTTCCTTCGTTTGCTTTGCCAGTGGTTTTCAGTTATTCTCTCACACTGAGCAGATTGTTGGCTTCATCGGGGACCTCTTATTGTACCCTCTGAGCACAATAGAGATGTTTAGAGGCACCTACCATGCACATAGGCTCATTCACATGTAGAATTAATATACCAGCAGACAGTGTCTTGGGTCACCCATCACTGAGGTGTTAACACAATACAAATGTGCTGATGTGTAGAAAGTGTATTTTACTGTGATGAGTGCATCCAGGCTTTATACAGGTAAGTGCTTTACCTCTGACCCATTCACATCTGCATCAACACTGATGTCAAAAGGAGAAGAATCAAATAAGGAAAAGAACCTGGAATAAGACTTTAAAAAATCCTTCCTGCAATCTCTTCCTGTTTAATAGTTGCTCTGCAACATCTGTCCTCCAGATGCAAAGTGGTAAATGCAACATTGTGCATTCAAGTTTCCATTGTTCTTAGTTCTCTGAACTGGAACAGTGATACTATATAGTAACTGCCATTGGAAACATGATTCCAATGTCAATTTGCTGTTTTAGGAAGAATAAAACAGCAATGCTTCTTCTGGTCTGTTGGGAAAACTGGTGTCTTAGCATCATTCCAAAGAAAGTACTAGGTTAAGCCGACCATGTATGACTTATTAGGTACATTTGGACAGCATCAATTGAGGGCAAGTAACTTAGCTTTTCTCATATCATATAGGAACAGGGAGACTGTAGGAAGAACAGCAAAATATTTTAATGCATCCATCCAAAACAACAAGTCTTATTGACCCACAAACTCTGCAATGTGTCAAGCTGTGGTGCGTGCCATTTTAATGCTTAGCAGGAAACTATAGCTACATTTTGCAACTATAATTCATTGCACATGAGGGAATTCCAACCAGTAGAGTGAAGGTTTGTGTGTTGGAGTTACGATCTTTACTCTAGAAAAGCAGAAAACAAGTAAAAGCTTTTGGGTGTTTTATTGAACGGTGAAGATGACAATATTAGTACTACTCCTCTTTCTATCATTTAGTTTCTGTCCTCTTTTTCCAGCCTTTATAGATTGGATCAAACTAAAGGACTTCTTCTACAGTTGAGAACAGGATCCAGCAAGGGATCCTGTTCAAACAGGAGGAAGGGAGAGAGGCAATAATACTCCTCACCAACATTCATCTGTTCCCCGGACCTCTAGAGCCACTTGTGGGTAGGGCATTAAAGGTCTCAGTAGAAACACTGGAAAAACAAACTTCTCTCCTCCTCCAGCAGAACCAAGTAGAGTTTGATTCCTATTTAATCTAGATAAGAGTACTTTAAGCTATCTAATGTAGGGGACTGGCATTGTTCTAATGCAGAGCTTTCCAAACTGTGTGTCATGACACATTAGTGTGTCACCTGTAGTTTGTAGGTGTATCATGTGACACCTCTGAGTTTGTAAAATAAGCAATAAATCAAAGATTTTCATGAAAAATATTGTGTTCCTCACACATTTCACTATTAGATTTAAGTATGTGTCCGTATCTCTTATAAGGGGTTGGGTTAACCTCCAGTTCTCTAGTAAAATTGAATTACACTGTTGCAAAATGATGCATGCCTTTTTTCCAATAATTTTTATTAAACTATTTTAAATATTTAAACATAAAAATAAAAATATCAATGGGAAAAGTAAGGGTATAAGGGGGGAGGGGGAAAAGAATGGGAGGGAAGGGAGTAAAGTTTGTTGACTTCTGATCTCCTTCATGGTATTTTTCCCCTTCAGTTTTTTCTTCTCTTCACGCTTTCCTTCTCCTTTTCTTCTAACATTTTTGAGATAATCGCTTTTTGCTGAGTTGGATTGTCCTAAATTCTTAAACATTTGTTTTGCTGGGTCATATAGTCTTTAAAAGATTGCTAGTCAATAGTTTTACTGTTCACTTTCCCCTCATGTCTCATTATCAATTGTGCTAATTTGTCCATATTCATAATATCTAGTATTTTCACAAGCCATTGATGAATTGGAGGTATTGCTTTTTCCTCTGTGTGATCCCTGTGAAATGCACGCATATGGGTCTCCTGCCCCTGCGCAGGCAGTCTCGGAACTTTCTAGAAGATTTTAAAGATACATTTTGGCGGAAGCCCCACCCACTCTCCCCTCAATAGTATATACAGCCCAAAGGTGGGGCTATCACCCCAGTTCCATCTTTCCTCTGCAGTAGCAGCAGCCAGGAACTCACTCTCTCACTCATGTCTAGCTTATAATTTCTAATTTGATCTACCTTCCTAAATTTTGGACTTGACCTTGGACTGTTTGACTACCCTTCGCTCACAGATTTGGACCTGTCGTTTTGGCGACTCCCGGTTGATCTTGGACCATTCAACCTCCTCTCTGCCAGGCCTGTTATATTCCCTTCCAATACTCATTTGCTTCACACCACGTCCACCACATATGGTAGAAAGTGCCTTCTTTGGGTTTCACATTTCCAGCATTTGTTTTGAATATTTTTATTAATTTTTCCCAAGATTTGTGGAGTTACGTACCATTGGTATATCATCTTATCCCATTTTTCCCTTGTTGTATGCGCAAGTAAATTTCAATTTGTGATTCCACATTTGTTCCCATTCTTCCATTTTTTTTGGTCATCTGATGAAGGTAGCCTGTTT